ATAGCCCCCCCCCCCCTTGGAGAAAAATCCCCCAGCTGCCCCCGAGCAAATCATGGATGTTCCTTTACCTGTAGTACTCTATATGTGCAGTCTGATTGGCCACAGTTGCCAGGTCCATTTTAGCCTGGTCCAGGTTGGGCAGCCCCAGCAGCTGTTTGATCACGTTGTTGGCCATCTGCTGCATGAACTGCAGCGTTTGCACGTAGTCTCCTCTCATGGCAAAGATCTCATCCAACCTTGCCAGGTGCTGGTGCAGACCGGTTCTCATGTTGCTCATCGTTCCCGTTACCTGATGGAGAGACGACACTCAATTTTCTGCACAAAACGGGATAAAGTGTTTCTTAAATATTTGGTAAAGTTTAATAAGATCTTGTAGTTTTAGTTCTTGCTTCAAATGAACTGATCTGCTGCACATTGTTTCCTTCCAGGGAGGATAGAAGTCTAAATATAGACTTTTTCTGTTGTAGCAATGCACTCATGCAGGCAATGAATAGCTGCCCTTGTGAGGTCATTCCCTAGTTACACTCCAAAAAGCCGTCGGGATAAAGTTAAGGGAGTTTGAGCTGGGCTTTTTTTTTTTCAAGATGCCTCAGTGAGTGCTTTTCATTTTAAAAATCAGTAAAATTAATTTAAATATAAATATCTTTACTAAGGTGCTCTTGGCATTATTACGCTTCTACAACAGCATCCCAGAGAACATCAAATAAATGGGTAATTTCAGAAAATTGAACGTCTTCTTAAGCCTTAATAGAAATATCCAAGAAGAACCGAAGCACAATTATCTTATAAACTTTTTCTTTTTGCCAGCTTTTATTGTCATTACACTGTCACAAGTACAGAGCAACAAAATCAATTCTCTGCATTTAACCCATCCCCTTAGGGAGCAGTGACAGTCGGGCTCAAACTCAGAACCTCTGGATTCCAAGCTCTATGCCCTCACCGCTTGGCCACCACTCCCCCAGGATGCAATGTATATGTTCTGTCACTATAAGCTTGGCAGGTAATTGTGAATAGACAATGTCAAGCTACGATCATGGATGTTGCTCTGTGTGTGAGTGGACGAGGCGCACAATGTGGGAGAGACGTAACACCTAGCGTAGGTGTCGAGTTTAAATACATGCCTTTTTTGAGAGAGCTTGGAGGTAAATGATTGGATTCAGCCAGTCATTGTCAAAGAACGAGGTATTTTGTGTATAATCTGTAATCCTACAGCATGGATCCGTTCCATGAGGGGAGAATGTGATGTCCCGAAAACAATGCGGGCTACATTAATAATTGGCAATTCTTTTGGTGCAGCTCTTCTTTCTAAGAATCTGGCCAAATTTATTAGTCCTCCAAAACCCTGACCACCCAGGGTGCAGACCAGGAAGCAGAGTTGTAGTTCAACACACATCTCTGCAGCGTCTCTACTGTTACCCACTCTTTACTCCATCCAGACAGTGTCTTGTCCATGGCCAAAATCTAATAAATTAGCAAAGATTCCCAAAGCAGTACATCATGATTATCTAATTAAAATAACTCC